CATAAACTTTGTTGTGGTGTGATCCAAATTTCATGTGATTTGGTATTTGGTTGATTGGAGGAAATCTAAGGTATCTGAGTTTGTAGAGTTCTAATATGATTGAAAATCAAATTTCAATAATAATTAGGACTTTGGCTTGAAGGATGACTCTTGGATGGCTAAAGGCATATTTTGGATTCTTTCTCCATCTTAGACTCAAATAAGAGGTTTTATATATAGCCAACATGCGACCATGTAAATTCGCCCCTGCTGCAACACTACCATTTAACTGATGCACCACCACCCTTAAAAGATTTGAACAACCACCACTAAACTATGTACCTCCAGTCTCGAACTATGAGGATCTAAAATTTATCATCACCATCGCTAGAATAGCCAAGGCTGATAGAACCACCAAGAGAATCACAAAGACGTTGAGGAAACCACAAGCAACGTTTAAAGCTGATCCTCTCCTCATCTCTACCACCTCTATGACCATTCTTTCTTTCGTCGTCAGACCTCCATCACCACCCTTCCTCACAGGTGCCATTGAACTTTAACTAATGAGAGTGCAATGGGATTTCTTACATTTCATAGTAGATTATAATCTTATTATATGGTGGTGCAATTCCGGTTGTGGTGGTGTGGGTCGAAGGTTGCTCTAGTGTTTTCTAGGGTTTGATTTGCAGATTTTTGGGTTTGTATATGCACATGGTTGTGGTTTTGTGCTAGAGTAGGGGTGGAGGAGTTGGTGATGTTCGAAATTTTGGGTTAGATACGGTAGAGGCAGGGTCGTTTTTGTGATGTTGGTGCTTATGGTCGTGATGGTGTTTTTTCATTTGCGGTTATTTGATCCCAGTTATTTCGAAAATAAATTTTTCTCTCTTTTTTAAACAACACGTTCTTCAATAAAATAATATTACCTAAAACTTTTCTTATTTTTCAACAACACATTTTCCATCAATCAATTATTTTAAAATGTATTCTTAAGAAAAAAATGGGCTCAAAAGCATCAGAAATTTTTGAGTACATGTATGATATTTTCGATTACAAATCTATAATTTTTTATAAAAACAAATACATGGTTTTTGAAATGATGATTTGCAGTAAACTTTTGTTTCAGTTGTCGTTTTCGGTGTTTTTTTGGTAGAAGGTGGTGGGTCGTGGAGGTGCATATGTTTAAATAAGTTACAATTTAAAAAATTTAGGCATATTGTAACAAGTAACATATGGTGTAGCAATTTCAAATAAATTGCATAAATATGATATAAATGAATCAACATAGAGTTAAGTTTTCTGACTTATTATAAGACTTACACACACATTAACAGTAACAAAAAATAACAGAATTTAAGACACCTGATTTTTAAAAATGGACCTCCAAATATTTCATAGTTGTGCAATTAACCCATCGATTATAAGTCTAAATATTGAGCCCAACTTCCCTCCCATCTTAAAAACCCAGAAATGGAAAAGTCTAAATACGACCCATGCTTTGGAAAGCAGATAGTTATACCTACACTAATTTCTGATATAGGATCCAATGAGAAGAACAATGATATCAACTTGAAAAATGAAAACTGGGTAAAAAGGCTAGACCGTGAATGCATCCAAAATTCAAAAGCATATGGAAGGAGAACCTCAAAATTTAGAAATATTACCAACTTTGATTTTTTTGTATAGTTTTCAATAGGATAAACTGTGAATGTCAAATCAGAAGCACGAGACACATTACATTATGTCTATGTGGACCAATAAATTTAGACAACTGCTTTAATGCATGTTTAAGTAGACTTATAAACAGTGGTGGAATAGATTTTTTTTTTCCCTTTTTTTTTCGCATTTTTGAGGCATTGCTATCTTCTCTGTTGGGTCCCAAAGCAAACATAGAGGGTTCACTCAAGCTGTTGAAGATAGATGTGTATCCATCCCTTACCACAGGTTAAGGAAAGGTTAAAAAACTATTAAAACAAAATCAGAAAATTTTGTGGTCTTCATATGAACCCATGTGGTACTTAGTCAATACACATTTTATTGGTCATTTTCTTGATGTGTGAATGAAGCAACTGACCTTGTCTATGCCTATTAACTAGTAAGTTTTTATAACTGAGTCGACATATTTAAAAGATTTCTCAAGATGTGAGAGAAATGTTCATTAATGACATAAAAATTGGAACCAACAAAGTGAGAACTCTTTTCTGTATGTAGACATTTTCAATTTCTATAGATCACACAAATGCCTAATTCTCTAGCATACAAAATATTTGAAATGTTCAAGCATAGCTAGTTCACTGCTAACTTTCTTTAATGCCAAATCGCCCAAGGACGGATCCAGGATCGGACGACAAGGGGAGCTAATACGTATAAAAAAAAGAATTACACATGAAATTTTTTTTTTACATAAATTTTTTTTTCCCAAGTATAAAATTTTTTTTTTGGGGGGCCCCCTAAATCCGTCCCTGAAATCGCCAATCATACTTGAAAAAAATTATCCTAAAGTGCAATCAAATTCCCTCAAGCGAGCTTATTGTAAATCGGCGCAAGAGAGACCCTTAGCCCCCAGTTGATGGGGATTAAGATCAAATTTTTAGTAAAATTTTTAGTAAAATTTGATAATGTTGATTAAATGTGTGGTTAAAAAGTTGTGAATGGGGTCGGCTTTTGAGAATACTATCATGATGCTTCTTCTTGATTCAAGACCAGGTATAAAAGCTCCTAGAGAAATGTTTGAGGAGGAAGGTATCCATTGCATACCTTTAGTTTAGCATTCACTTTTATGTGATTTCATAAAATAAGTAGTTAAAATTAATCGTTGAGTTTTACTTAGTTTAAAATTTAAATTTTAAAAGGTTGGATGACTCAACTTTACTAAAGTGAGTTCCATCCTAACCACATATTCGGCCACCTTGCCTACTTTATTACCTCAACTTCTGTATGAATAAGAGGTTACTTTTACACTTTCTGTTATCATCTCGTGTTACTTTTTGCTATGAAACAATCATGCGCAATTGGCGAGCATAGTGCTATTGCCTATTTTTACAAGTAGCAACAAAACAAAGTTATTCCATACCCAAAAACTCATTATTATGTTTTTCACAAATTCTTTCCTCCTTTTGGTATATTTTATTCTTATATATATTACTGATATATCCAGACACGGAAAAACCCATCGTGTAGGGACAGTTAGAAGGCACTGGTAGCCCAATAGATGAACACCAGCTGCCAAGATTGAGTTAATGCACTCTTCCTTCTCTTTCTTATAAACCCAACCCCCAAAACTGTGCATTGTGTGCTGATGTGCGTCACACCGACAAACCCACAGGCCACAAACTAAAACCAGTAAAGTGCAGCTAATATATGAATTTCAAGACCAACCTCTTCTTCTTTGGTAAGGTTTTCTGTCCACTCATTTTTACTTTATCTTCTGCATAATCTGTAGATTTAGTGCTTCTATATGATGAATTGCTCCTAGTAACTGGTTACATGTTTAACAGCTAGATTCATTATTAAGCGAATTTCGAGCCAGTTTGATGAATAAATGTTTGAAAGATTGTTTCAAGACTTGTGAAGTACACAGACTTGCTTCACTCCTACGTCGATTTTGTTTCCTAAACCTTGTGTTAAAGAAGTGGCACAACAAATAAATTCCATCATCAATAAAGTTTATTTTTAATCTTTTTCGGTCTAATCTAGCAAGCATGTCGTTAAAAGTTCCCAAGAGGTATAAAATATTGGACGTGTGCAATAGCAAGTTTCATATATGTGACTTTGCAGTTGTATAAATTCTTTGCTGATTTGCATTGAACACGTTTTTGCTGCTTCTAGTTCTGTATATATGATGAATTGCTGCTTGTAATTGGTTACATTTCCAAGGACTAGATACATTATTGGAGATAAATGAGAAGTTTGATCTTGTTTGATGAATAAATGTTGGAAATATTGTAATGAAACTTCTTGTGAAGTGACCATAGAGTTTGCTTCACTCTTATATGCAATTTTGTTTCTAAACCTTTGTGTTGAAGATGTATCGATAGGGTTAAAGGAAGAACACATTTGATGAGTCAAAGACTTGATGTTGATTCTACTAAATAACAACTAATAAATTTCGTCAAACGTGAACTGTAATTTTTATTTTGTTCAGTCTAACGTAGCAAGCACGTCGTTAAAGTTTACTTTCTCCTATTTGCTTGTGTTGAAATAGATGAGATGCTGAAGCCAGCAGGCAGCAGGAATCAAAGATCAAAAAGTTTAAAGGTAAAGCATGCCCTTCAAATATGTCTACTACTTGCAATATGCATATGGCTACTTTACCAAGTGAAGCAATCTTACAAAAAGAAGTCAAAATCCGTTTCAACTCAAGCATCTGAAAATGAAGAAAACGCGCTTCAAATGTTGAAACTGGGGAGAAAAGACATCAAACCTCAACTACTTGAAGAAGTGGATCTAGAGGACGAAGAAAGCAAAGAAAAAGAGACTGTTGATGGAGATGAAGACATTGAAGACATTGAAAAGGACAAGAATGAAGACGACGGAGAGCCTCAACAGTTGCAGGATTTAATCGACGAAGATGACAAGGACGAATAATATAGAAAGCAAGTAAAGATCGTACAATATATGAATTAGTAATTAATTTAGCACGAGAAGCTGATCTGAGATGCATAAAAAGGATATTTTCAAGGTGGAGTTATAAAGAATCTGCACTTTGATTCAGAAAACTATCATCAAGGATATATTAGTTTGGTTCTTCCTAGAAGCAATAGCAGAAATGAATGGGCAATAAATGAATAAAATCATTGTTCCACAAATTTTTCGGAATTTCTTATCCAAATTCGAGCTATTTTATTGAACTGTATAATTCTTGTTATTGAACCTCAAGACCAGATGGTGTATGCATGTACATGCAAATATTTTATGGAATGCACTTCCCACAAGCATTATAAAAAGTAATCAAATAATCTATTCCATATTAGGACATAACTGCTTTTATACTTATTTTCTGTTTTTATTTATAATTTATTCCCTTTTCACTATTAGCCTTGGACCTCATGGTCTCTGAGTACCCTATTCTCTATATTTTCAGTTTCTGAGAAATGAACTCGTATTCATTGCACTTGGGCCAAAATTTCGTAACTGCCAACTACTAATAGACCAAGTCAATACAGGGTGTCCTAATGAAATTGGACAGATGGTTGAAATAAATTTGTTTGGTTTAAAGTTCTGAAATTCAATATCACTTGCAATTACCTAATGACATTATGAAATTCATATCACAGAAAGCCAAAAACTTAAAACAAAAATAAATAAATAAAACCCAAATGATTACCTCAAGACATGGTTGCTTTTCAGAACCTGTGCATAAATATTTGTACATCTACATGAGTAAATATAGGATTCACACGATGACAACAACATATTGGTGTTTGGTTCTTTTGAACTTCCAACATTTCCACACAGACCAAATTTGAGAAATATCTGAAAATTCCATTGCACAATGATTGTAGCAGATAAAGAAATTGTTACATGATTTACCAAACTTTTGAAACCAGATGGAAAGAGTTAATATGCAAAACACTGTAATTTGGATACAGGTGCATACTCATATGCTGATGTAGTTAACTTGGAGCCAAGACAATGAGATTCTTTATAATCTAAACTAGTTTGAGGTTACCGATGCACCCATTACGGTATAATTGGAAGCAAGAACAATAAAGGATTGCAAGAAAAGTGACGCACTCTTCTGCTTCAAGGAAGAATTGTGGTAGCCAATGCGCTCAAGTTTGCTATTGCAAATGTTTACTCTTGAGTGGTCGATGTGCATTCCACTGCCACAACATCCATACTATGGATGTGCCTAAAAACAAATGATTCAGCAGTTCAACTTAAAGAGCATTAACTTCTTTAGAAATATATGGAAATATTGATAGAACGCATTTCTATAGAACATCAACCATATAGTGCACCAGGGAGCAGATAATTTAGAGAATTACCGCACCTACAATTCTACCTACATGAGCGGCCACTAGTACAAATACCTTAGAGGAACTTTTATGTCATACATGAGGGTTAATTTCACAAACGGTCACTGAAATTACGTCAAAATAACAAAACGGTCACTGAAGTTTAAAAATTGCACTAACGGTCACTCAAGTATCTACCGGTTTCAAGAATGGTCACTGAAGGACCAAATGAGTTTAACACTGAAACATGAGGACCTACATCGCAAATTTGGCAAGAGCCATTTTTTTGCCATTTTCCCGGCCATTTTGCAGCCCAATTCCGGCGCCGTCCGGCCTCCTAAGCCGCCGGAAATTAGCACCGTTAGAAAGAACTCCTCTTCCTCTTCAATTAGCATCCAGCTTCTCCCAATTTCATCAAGTTATGTAATCGGAATCGATGCTCAAAAGTTCACTGCCG